TTTGAAAGAGTTCTGATCAAAAAAACCAGGGGCGTCCGAGGCCCCACCCCCGGAGTTCAAGCTCACTAAGAGGCGGTGATCTGAAAATCATGGGCGCTCCATCAGTCCAAGTCCTCATCCTGAGTTCAACATTTGTCAAAGCTTTGATTTGAGAATCAGGGGTGCCCCATCAATCCAAAGCCCCACCCTCGGAGTTCAAGGATCTGTATAAGGGTTCTGATTTAAAAATCAGGGGCGCCCCGCTCCATCAGAGTCCAAGGCCCCACCCTCGGAGTTCAAGATCTGTAAGGGTTGTGATTTAGAAATCAGGGGTGCCCCATCAACCCAAGACCCCACCCTCGGAGTTCAAGATCTGTAAGGGTTGCGATTTAGAAGGCAGGGGTGCCCCAGCAACCCAAGGCCCGACCCTCGGAGTTCAAGATTTGTAAGAGTTCTGATTTAAAAAACCAGGGGTGTCCAAGGCCCCACCCCCGGAGGACAAGCTCACTAAGAGGCGGTGATCTGAAAATCATGGGCGCTTCATCAGTCCAAGTCCTCATCCTCGGAGTTCAACATCTGTCAAAGCTTTGATTTCAGAATCAGGGGTGCCCCATCAGTCCAAAGCTCCACCCTCGGAGTTCAAGGATCTGTAAGGGTTCTGACTTAAAAATCAGGGGCGCCCCGCTCCATCAGAGTCCAAGGCCCCACCCTCGGAGTTCAAGATCTGTAAGGGTTGTATTTTAGAAATCAGGGGCGCCCCGCTCCATCAGAGTCCAAGGCCCCACCCTCGGAGTTCAAGATTTGAAAGAGTTCTGATTAAAACAACCAGGGGCGTCCGAGGCCCCACCCCCGGAGTTCAAGCTCACTAAGAGGCGGTGATCTGAAAATCATGGGCGCTACATCAGTCCAGGGCCTCCTCCTCGGAGTTCAACATCTGTCAAAGCTTTGATTTAAGAATCAGGGGTGCCCCATCAGTCCAAAGCCCCACCCTCGGAGTAAGGGTTCTGATTTAAAAATCAGGGGAGCCCCGCTCCATTAGAGTCCAAGGCCCCGCCCTCGGAGTTCAAGATCTGTAAGGGTTGGGATTTAGAAATCAGGGGCGCCCCGCCCCATCAGAGTCCAAGGCCCCACCCTCGGAGTTCAAGATCTGTAAGGGTTGTGATTTAGAAATCAGGGGTGCCCCATCAACCCAAGGCCCGACCCTCGGAGTTCAAGATTTGTAAGAGTTCTGAAGAAAAACCAGTGGCGTCCAAGGCCCCAACCCCGGAGGACAAGCTCACTAAGAGGCGGTGATCTGGGTGATCTGAAAATCATGGGCGCTCCATCAGTCCAGGGCCTCCTCCTCGGAGTTCAACATCTGTCAAAGCTTTGATTTAAGAATCAGGGGTGCCCCATCAGTTCAAATCCCCACCCTCGGAGTTCAAGGATCTGTAAGGGTTCTGATTTAAAAATCAGGGGCGCCCCGCTCCATCAGAGTCCAAGGCCCCACCCTCGGAGTTCAAGATCTGTAAGGGTTGTGATTTTGAAATCAGGGGCGCCCCGCTCCATCAGAGTCCAAGGCCCCACCGTCGGAGTTCAAGATTTGAAAGAGTTCTGATTAAAACAACCAGGGGCGTCCGAGGCCCCACCCCCGGAGTTCAAGCTCACTAAGAGGCGGTGATCTGCTGATCTGAAAATCATGAGCGCTCCATCGGTCCAGGGCCTCCTCCTCGGAGTTCAACATCTGTCAAAGCTTTGATTTAAGAATCAGGGGTGCCCCATCAGTCCAAAGCCCCACCCTCGGAGTTCAAGGATCTGTAAGGGTTCTGATTTAAAAATCAGGGGCGCCCCGCTCCATCAGAGTCCAAGGCCCCACCCTCGGAGTTCAAGATCTGTAAGGGTTGGGATTTAGAAATCAGGGGCGCCCCGCCCCATCAGAGTCCAAGGCCCCACCCTCGGAGTTCAAGATCTGTAAGGGTTGTGATTTAGAAATCAGGGGTGCCCCATCAACCCAAGGCCCGACCCTCGGAGTTCAAGATTTGTAAGAGTTCTGATTAAAAAACCAGGGGCGTCCAAAGCCCCACCCCCGGAGTTCAAGCTCACTAAGAGGCGGTGATCTGAAAATCATGGGGCTCCATCAGTCCAAGTCCTCATCCTCGGAGTTCAACATCTGTCAAAGCTTTGATTTCAGAATCAGGGGTGCCCCATCAGTCCAAAGCTCCACCCTCGGAGTTCAAGGATCTGTAAGGGTTCTGACTTAAAAATCAGGGGCGCCCCGCTCCATCAGAGTCCAAAGCCCCACCCTCGGAGTTCAAGATCTGTAAGGGTTGGGATTTAGAAATCAGGGGCGCCACGCTCCATCAGAGTCCAAGGCCCCACCCTCGGAGTTCAAGATTTGAAAGAGTTCTGATTAAAACAACCAGGGGCGTCCGAGGCCCCACCCCCGGAGTTCAAGCTCACTAAGAGGCGGTGATCTGAAAATCATGGGCGCTCCATCAGTCCAGGGCCTCCTCCTCGGAGTTCAACATCTGTCAAAGCTTTGATTTAAGAATCAGGGGTGCCCCATCAGTCCAAAGCCCCACCCTCGGAGTTCAAGGATTTGTAAGGGTTCTGATTTAAAAATCAGGGGCGCCCCGCTCCATCAGAGTCCAAGGCCCCACCCTCGGAGTTCAAGATCTGTAAGGGTTGGGATTTAGAAATCAGGGGCGCCCCGCCCCATCAGAGTCCAAGGCCCCACCCTCGGAGTTCAAGATCTGTAAGGGTTGTATTTAGAAATCAGGGGTGCCCCATCAACCCAAGGCCCGACCCTCGGAGTTCAAGATTTGAAAAAGTTCTGATTAAAACAACCAGGGGCGTCCGAGGCCCCACCCCCGGAGTTCAAGCTCACTAAGAGGCGGAGATCGAAAATTCATGGGCGCTCCATCAGTCCAGGGCCGCCTCCTCTTCAACATCTAACAAAGCTTTGATTTAAGAATCAGGGGTGCCCCATCAGTCCAAAGCCCCACCCTCGGAGTTCAAGGATCCGTAAGGGTTCTGATTTTAAAATCAGGGGCGCCCCGCCCCATCAGAGTCCAAGGCCCCACCCTCGGAGTTCAAGACGTGTCAGGGTTCTGACTCAAGAATCGGTCGGTAGTCATAGATTTCAGAAGACTTTCAGAAGAACAAAGACACAACAACAAATCCAAAACAGTTCCGAAGTGCGCGTCCAATTCCGGGTGCACGCACAAGAGCACGTCAATTGAGTCGAGATTCGTGGTCGTTCGCCAAAAAATCCGCTGAATAGGATGCAATATAACCCCACGTGAAATGTAAAAACTCTCTCTGACTGACAGTGGAAGAGAATTCGCAGGACTGCGGGAACTGCTGCCAGCAATGAGCCACAAAAACCTGGTACGACAGGCACTGCCCGGAAATCGCAGGCTGCAAAACCAAGGTAGCAACCAGGCTGCAACAGCCACAGGGTAGTATTGCCTGTGTGCCAGGCTGTAGGCAGAATTCCAGCGCAATTCCAGCGCAATTCCAGCGCAATTCGGCGCAATTCGGCGCAATTCGGCGCAATCGGCGCAATTCGGCGCAATTCGGCGCAAACGGCGCAATTCGGCGCAATCGGCGCAATTCGGCGCAATTGGCGCAATTCGGCGCAAACGGCGCAATTGGCCCAATTCGGCGCAATCGGTGCTTTCCAGCGCATTCCAACGCATTCGGCGCATTCCAGCGCAATCGGCGCATTCCAGCGCAATCGGCGCAATCCAGCGCATGGCCATCTGCGGCCACTGAGCCCGTACGCATTGTTGATTTCTGCTTGCGAATTTACTCTCACATACTGTAAATCCCTGACTAGCGACTTGCTCAGCAATGCAGGAGGCAAAGATCACCATCATCATCATCATTATCGTCATCATCACCATCATCATCACCATTATCACCTCGTCGACACCTTCGTCGTCGTCATCTTCACCATCAACATTACCATCATTATCGCCAGCATCACCATCTTCACCATCATCATCGTTGTCGTCATCTTCACCATCAGGCATCACCATCATTATCGCCACCATCACCGTCCTCACTTTTTTCCTTCATCATCGGCTTCGTGACGATGACCAACTTCATCGGCGCCCCTTTCCGTACTCCTCCTCGTTCTCATGGTGGCCTTCTTGCTACTCCCATGCCGTCACTATCGCGCAGCAGTAGCATGATCATTTTCACCTTCCGCAGTGTAGCCTGCCTAGTACAAACCCCAGCGAGATACAAGTGGGAAATGCTTAATGGTGTCTGCCGAGCGGTGTGAGGAGTGCACTGGCTACAAGGGTGCCCTGATGACGGCGCCCACGATGGAGCAGATGAACAAGGAGAGGGCACCCTACAGCCCTACAGCAGAGTCTTAAAACCTGAACTGTTTCTAGCGCTGTTCCGATGAAATTGTCTAGCTCAAAGCCCCAAAGCCCCAAAGCTCCAAAGCCCCAAGCCCAAAGCGCAGGAGATCGAGCAGAAGGTCATCAAGCGCACCCTTCGGTCCATCATGCGGCTGGGCTGCGAAGCTGTAGCGATTGAGGCTAGGGTTCAGGGTCTACGGTTCAGAATGTCGCGTGTCCAGGGTTGCGGTTTCACGAGTGGGATTTCGAGCGAAGTGTTCGAATAAGATGCAATTTTGGTCAGATTCCAAGATCATATATGTTCATGTCGGACATACTACAGAAACCTCAACAGTCAATAATTGTCAAAATGGCATTCTTCAGTGTCTCTTTGCTCTTCAGAACCCTTTTGCCGCTGCAAGGAAGTTCTACTATTACTACTACTGCTACTGCTACTGGTGCTGGTACTGGTGCTGGTGCTGCTGCTGGTGCTGGTGCTGGTGCTGGTGCTGGTGCTCGTGCTGGTGCTGGTGCTGGTGCCGGTGCGGGTGCGGGTACGGGTACGGGCACGGGCACGGGCACGGGCACGGGCACGGGTACGGGTACGGGTACTGGTACTGGTACTACTACTACTAACTACTACTACTGCTACTACTATTATTACTACTACTACTACTCCTACTACTACTACTACTACTACTACTACTACTACTACTACTAGTACTAGTACTAGTACTAGTACTAGTACTGCTACTACTACTACTACTACTACTACTACTACTACTACTACTACTACTACTAGCCACCCCCCTACCAACTACACCTCTTCATCATGAACACCATCATGAACATCGTCATCATACTCATCATCATGAACATCATCCTACACTCACGTAGCATCATCGACAACATCATCCTAAAAACATTATCATCAACTTACAAGGGCATCTATGTTGCTCGGTCTTTACAGCAATTTCCTGATGTCGTGCTACATCTTATGGCCCTTTTTGTCGACTGGTGTGGGCGCTACAGTGCCGATATTACCCTCCCCCCCACCCCCACACCCTAAACACTCCCCGAAGCCTTCCTAAATCCCAAACTCGAGTTTGTCAAGTCGACTAAGTGGATTTTAAGGCCATACCATGTAGTACGACATGAGGAAAGTGCTGTCAAAAACCGAGTAAAACGGATGTGCATGTAAGCTGATGATGAGCAAGTGTAGTTGGGAGGGGGGCTGCTTACTGCTACTACTACTACTACGACGACGACTACTACGACGACTACTACTACTAGGAATAAAGAAGGCAGAGAATGTGACTACGCAGACTCCCCACGACTGGAGGACAGGCGTGCCAAGGGAGCTGGGAACAAACGTCGGATAAAGAAAGTAACTTCGAAATAGAGAAAAGGATAACGAAGTTTTGCCGAAGATATCGAGGGCAAGGGTATCTAGGGAGCTTCACGTGTTTCTTCCACAAGCTGATACTGTGAGCCGAGACTTGAGCCAAAATGGCTACGGCTCAAGTCTCGGCTCACAGTATCAGCTTGTGGAAGAAACACGTGAAGCTCCCTAGATACCCTTGCCCTCGATATCTTCGGCAAAACTTCGTTATCCTTTTCTCTATTTCGAAGTTACTTTCTTTATCCGACGTTTGTTCCCAGCTCCCTTGGCACGCCTGTCCTCCAGTCGTGGGGAGTCTGCGTAGTCACATTCTCTGCCTTCTTTATTCCTTGCTGCACTGTCCCTTTCCTTGCCTTGCTTTTTCCCTGTCGAACACTGACACTGCGCTTGCGCTGCGCTGCACTGCCTTTTATTCATTTGCTGGACTGCTTTTTCCCATTTTGCGCTGCACTGCCTTAAATTCTGACCATTGGGTTTGGGACAAACACATGTCAGCTGATGCCGAGACTCTTTTGCTGCCAGGGGCGGTGGGGTACCGTGCACCTACTACCCCTGAGCCATCAGACACGCCTCGTAACACCACGACCAGGACACTGATGGACCTGGAGGAGGGCGAAGAATTAGGCGGCGACGATGACGCCAGCTCTACGCAGCCTGGCACACCCCCGCCGGCAGGAGGGATTGGGCCCATCACTAGGGATCCTGGGAATATTGCTTTTGGGCTTGGGGTTTGGGGGCCGCCGCCCCCCACTGAGGACGACCCGCTGCACCCTGGCTTCATGCGGCTCAGTAACCCCCCGACCTCTGCCCCGCTTGTTTCGGTCTCTCTCGGAGGAGGATGCAACGAAACTGCAGGTGACTACATTGACCCGAGTGTGCCTGCTGCTCCGGCTCCGGGAACTCCGGAGCTGGGTGATGGACCTGGCCCCACCGAGGACTCATTGGAAGTGCCTGTGCCTCTGCCTAGCCGCAGTCACCACCATCAGGTACCTACTTTTGACCTGTCGCGTAGTGATGACGAAGAGATTCATGAGACCCCCCCGACTCCAGCGCCTTCTGTCAGTGTCACACATGCTAACCCCCTCCCGCATCCCAAGACCCTAATGATTGCTAGACACACACAAGCCCTGGAAAGTCACGCTAGCCGCGCCGCTGCCGCAGCAGGCCGCCCTAGGATGGGAGATTTCGTCCCGAATGATGGCCAGGCCGCAGGTGGTCGTAGTGCTCGCCCTCCGCCTTATCAACAGGGAGAGGCACCCCCATCCTCATCCGACACCGATAGACCCGAGAACAAAAAATTGCGAGTCACTGGGCCACAAGAAGTAAGCCTAGGGGACGAGCTTACCGATGCAAGCATGGAAGAACCTCCCCTGCCTCCACCCAGTGGCCCTCCGCATCCCTACACTCCCGTCAGAAATGGTAGAGGACCAAGGCCGGTGCAGTCAGGGGCTGGCTGGATGGATGCCCTGCAGCAGATCCACCAGAGTCTACAGGACCTCCACACTAAGGCTGATACCAGCAAAAACTCGCAGGATCGTGCGCACGCTGAACTCATTGGACTTCGCGCGGATCTGCACCAGCAGGAGGTTCGCACGGAGGCGCTGGAAGCCACCACTAAGGAACACACGCAGCTACACGAGGGTACTTTGCTCCGTGTGGCTGCCTTGGAACGCCAGTTTCAGAATCTCCAGCAACAGGAACGCGAGCGGTCCCGCTCGCCTCCGCCAGCAGGGCGTGATTTTTCCCGAGGCCGGTCGCCCTCCATGACCAGGAGCCCCAGAGACGACCGCGATCCGCTGGAGGACTTAGAACTTGTCATTGGGGGCTGGAATGAGGCCCGCAGAGGGGACGTCGAGCATGAGGTCAAACAGATCTTTCAGCGACTGAACATGGAAGACAGACTCCATGAGGTCATAATCCCGTATGTTCGAGTAAATGTTTGCCGTGTTGCTCTAAAGTTCCCACCTAACGCTCAAAACATCCGAGCCCAGCGTGCCTTCCAGACACACACCCTCGACAAGCTTAAAGGAACTAAGTTCATGTCCGGGATCACAGGGAGCAAGAACAACGTGCTGTGGATGACCAAGAACAGAACCCCTGAAGATCGCAACAAGATCCGCAGTCTCGTCCAGACGAAAGAATTTTACATTCATGTCAAGTACGGGGACGGGCGCAAGCGTGAGACACCAGAGATCGACTGGAGAGGACGCGTGTATGTTGGTAGGGTCCAAGCATTGGCGGAAGCCTCGCGCCTGCCAGCTGACGCTGACCCTGAGGACATCTACTTGAGCGACAATAGGGGGGATCATACGGGTTGGGTCTTGTTGGCAAAGCGGTTTGAACAAATCACTGGACTTCCAAAGTCGGAGTTGTCTAAGCTTTGGGAAAATGGGCCCCACCTCGACATGAGGCCGAGTCGTTGACTCGCCGACCAAGGACCCCAGCGAACACCGTTTCACGTTGCAACATGGAATGTTCGAGGAAAGAGCCTTGATCACTTCTGCAACTCGGCTGACATGCTTAATTTGAGTGGGTTTGATCTAATTGGCTTGCAAGAACTTGGAGGATGTGGTGATGTGGAGTCGGGGAAGTGGGAGAACCGCGTTGCTTGGGTTGAGAATCAATCTTTTACATTTGTGGTAGGAAACCCCGCAGGAAGCCATCACTGTCAAGCGGTAGGCTTTCCCACATACCACCCCGCATGTGGCACACATTTCAATACAGACCTGTGGCATGTGCGTGCAGTTCCGAATTAACGGTGTTTCTACCTTTGCTTTGTCAATACACCTGCCGTACCTGAACAGGCAAGACTCTCAGGACATGTGGCAGGACCAAATTCATAGCATGCGCCGGCTCCTTGGGAATTCCCGGTACCACGATAACATTTTTGTCATGGCTGATCTGAACTACGAGTTGTTCCGCACTACAGCAGAGTCGTCGGATGAACGTAGCGCCCTATTAAACTTGTTGGAGCGCGACCTTGGTCTGACACACACTCTGCCCACGACACACACATGGAGCAACACACGAGGGTCAACCTCGCGCATAGATTACATTTTGTACCGTGTCCCTCATCAGGAAACCTGGGACATGCAGGTAGTTGAAGAGTCTGACCGCCTCCTTGATTCGGATCATCGCTTAGTCTCGTTGTGTGTAGGAGTGTGGAGAGGGCGCCGGAAGAGACAGCGACAACGCCGGTCCCAGTGCGGGAAGTGGCTGGTTGATTACACAAAAGCAGTCCCCCTTCTCAATGCGATGGGAGAGAAAGCGGACCTCAACGCAGAAGACCTGTGCGAATCTGACTTCCTGGACGTGTCCCGCCGCTCCTGTTTCAGGCCCCGCCGCTTTCGTTTTGTTGATACGAGCGAAATCAAGGGGTTGATTAGGATGCGAAAGAGCTCGTCCAACCCCGGTGAGAAGAGAGAACTGGGCCGAGAAATAGTCCAAAAGCGCGCTGATGCTAAGAAGAGCTGGCGCACGGATCTCTTGGACCGCGCGGCGTCTGGGGGTTTTCAGGTCATCAGCTACTTCAAGCGCAAGCAGAGCATTTCCGCTTCCCAACTTGAGTACTGCCTCAGAGTGGGAGGGACAGGCCCCGCAGTCGGAGGCCTCCAAGCTTTCTACAGGCAGAAGTACGCTCCAGATGAACCCGCGAAACTCACCTCTCCCATGCACCTGTATGATGCAGCAGTAGGATGCAACATTCCGGGCCCGAGCCTCATCACCAGGGAAGAAGTCGAGCACGTTCTCACTCTTACGAAGAGCGGGAAGAGTTGTGGCAACGATGCCGCTCCGTATGAGTTTTGGTCAGCAGCCATTCAATCTGAAGCCTGCGAGCATCTGTTGGAGCTTCTTAACGACATTCTACTTGAGAATGTCGAAATGCCGACCAACTGGATGTTGTCTCAGGTCGTACTGCTCCCCAAAACTAAGGAGCCCTGTGAACCCAAGCAGTATCGCCCCATCGTGCTTGCAGCCACACTGAGCAAACTCTTCACCAAAGTGCTTTTGTTGCGCTTACGCTCTGTGTTCCCGCATATGGTTAGCGGACAGCTGTCTTCACAGGTTGGAGCCCAGGCTCTGGATGGGTCAGTAGCTCTAAAACATGTGATACACCTTTCTCGACAATGGGGCTTGCCGTTGCTAGCTTGAAAATTGGACATTCAAGCAGCATTTGACACTTTGAGTCATGAATCTGTTGCGCGGTTTTTGTCCTCGCTAGGAGCACATCAAGAGGCACGCCTGCTGCTAAGGCTAATCACTCAGGCTGAAGTCGCTCTGTCCTTTGCGAATGTGACGTGGAGGCAGCGCCTCAAGAGAGGGGTGCTCCAGGGGTCCGCATACAGTGCGGAACTGTTCGCGCGAACCCTAGACCACTATTTGACGCCCCTCCTGGAGGAATGGGGACGCACCGAAGTCACATGGGTCAGGGCGAGCGACGGCACTCCGTTGTTCGCGATAATTTTCGCAGACGACATTTTACTGCTTGCCACAAGCACGGCGCAGCTCGTGCGAATGTTGGGCTCCCTGCAGGACTGCCTCCAGGCGATTGGCCTCCATCTAGCTAGGCAGAAATGCCAGCTCATACGATCACCAGACCTCCCCCCTGAGCCTGTCCAACCCAGAGGATTTCCCGAACCCATCAAGGAAGTGGACTCCTTCGTGTTCCTCGGCATACTCGTGGGATTTGCAGTAACGTGCCAAATGACACTGGCTGCAAGGTTGCGAATGGCTACAAACTCGTTTTTCGGGTACCTAGGCTTTTTGGCCCGAGCCAAAGGTTCTCTCACAAAGCGGCTGCACTTACTGGACTCCTTTATGACCAGCAGGTGGCGGTGGCTTTCTGCTGCGGTGCGCCCTCTCTTCGCAGTTGCCAAACAGCTAAGGACCCTACAAACACATTTCTTGGTGTCGATGGCTCGCTTGGCCCACGATCCATTACAGACGTCGTGCGAGAATTGGGTCGCTCGCCGTCGGGGCGCCAAGATGGCGGCCCAAGCTTGTGGCCATCGGCCATGGGGCGCCATTCATCTTCGGTCCTTCATGAATTACTGGGGCCACGCGGCCCGCCTAGACCCTCACCTCAAGAGACCGATACAGATCGCGATTCAGGTGCGCGACGAAGCCTGGCGGCGGGCATTCCCCACAATCCGTAGGAAGGTTGGACGGTGGCCTAATACGGCCTATAGTCTAACCCTGCTGTGGCGTAGGTGCCGACATTCCGAGGACCCTGCAACGTGGGACCTGATGGCCGCCAACAGGCAGCGCTGGCAGGAGTTCACGCTCGAGGTTTTTAGCATTAAGAACCTACTCCCCGACTCCTTCTACCCGAACTTGCACCAGGTTGACCTCTGTCACAGATGTCTTCTTCTCAGGACTGGGGACCGCTTCTGGCTCCTACCTCAAACCCATCCCCCCATCGACCCTCCGTACCAGTCGTCGTACCAGGTTGTGGAGAACTCAGATTCGCATGACGAAGTGGCATGTTTTTGTGTTGCCTGCGATGGCAGCAAAAAAGGCCGGAAGCTCGGAGGCGGGGTTGCTCTTATCCCACCTTATGGAGAAGTGCCACGGGACGTGGTAGTGTGCGGATACCCGTTCCAAGGAGCGCCAGTAACGAATGTTCGTGCTGAGCTCCTCGCGGCCATTAAAGCAGTCGAGAAATGTCTTCAGCTCCTGGACAGTTTCCCGAACATACCTGTGCAGCTGATCACGGACTCTGCTTACGTCCTCCAAGTTCTTGAAGGAGGGACAGTCGGTTTTGCGCATGTTTCGCTACAGGCTGGACTTTGCATGCTGTGGCACAGGTGTCGTGGCCGCGTTCATGCCAAACACGTACACTCCCATAAGGGGCATGCTCTGAACGAAATTGCGGACAAAGCCGCCAAAGAGGCTCTGGATCACCCACAGACGCATTACTTCATGCGGCGAATGGACTACTCCCGAGCCTACCTTCCCCTCGCTGACTCCCCAGGACCCCCGCCAGACTCTTTCTGGTAGGTGCTCCCGCGCAAGTGCATAGCGAGGGTCTTGTTGCTTAGAGAGATCATACCTGTCGCTTCATGCCTTCGACTCGTTTGACCACCCTAATGCTTAGCAGCCACTGTGGTAGAAACTTGAAAGCTGGAGCAAGCGTTTTCTAGTTTCTTTTGGGCTTTTGTAATGCTTTTTAGACCTTTCTTTGCATATCACGCTCCAACCTTCTGGTTTCTACTATGGCAGCTGCGACGGGAGGATGATTTCGCCAATACTCTGTGTTCTGTTGAGGCCCAGGCGGTGTGCCATAGCTGTAGGGAGCTCGAAGACTGCCACAGTCACACGCACCACACACATTGAGACAAACCTGGAAGGCTTGTCTTGCTGAGGAAGCGGGGGGGGGGGCAGGACGGGCAAACAAATGCCCACAAGACTCTACAAGACCTTGACGCCACCCCGCCCTGCAGCATACCGCCTCAAAGCCTTGGCAGCTCACTGTTTTTGTAGTTTTCCTGAGGCCCTCGACCATGGATGCCGCACCAGCTCCTCCGGCGCCGCCTCAGCTCCCAGGGATGCCCGCAGCTGCTCCAGCTGCCGCCATGGAGCCGTGGGATGTTCCAGGACTGGTGAAGCAAGTCATCACGATAGTCGTGACCTTGGCCGTGGTTGCAATCGTGAGGGCGGTGCACAAGTGGATGAACAGCCAGTCGAGTTCTGCAGTGACCTCTAAACCTCCCCCTGCGCCTGCCTCGACCAACAGCCCAGCTCCTCCGGCGAAGGCAACTCCTCAGGCAGATGACGGGGGCGCGCAGAGCAAATCTCTGCCCGGTGATGCGCAAGAGTCAGGGAAAGGAGCTGCTTCACCTACGGGGGCTCAGTCCCAGACTGAGCCACAGAAGGAGGCGAAGGGGTCACCTGAGGCTCTCAGCAACACGACGTCACAGTCAGTACCGGCGAGCAGCACTGACCCTGCCAAGCAAGGCGTCACCAAAGGGGTCACCGACATCACGGATGCCAAGGACAAGTCAGCCCCGACTGCCACCTCGTCGCCGCCCGCAAGGCCTAGCCCGGAGGCGCTGTTCGCTGCCCTCCAGGGTTGCCAAAAGGAGATCAAGAACCTGCAGGCAACCCTCAGCAAGCAAGTGGAGGATGTGGCGGCCGAGCAGCAGAACCTGAAGACTTTGGTTGACAAGCAGTTCGCAGAGGCCAGCAGCTTCCAGACGGCAGCGATGGCCCACCTTGATGAGCTTGCCACTGTGGTCGGACAGATCAAACAAATCAAGCATGACGTCGTTGCGGTCAACGGAGATGTGAAGCTCATCTCGCAGCGCACGACAGGGATCGAGGGCATCCTTGGGATATTGATGCCCCAGGTGAAGACCCTCGTCTCCTCGGTCGGCACGCTGTCCTCGAATGTGGAAAGCATTCGACAGATGACAGACGCCCACTGGAAGGAAGTGGTCAAGCAGATCGGCGCGACGGTCCAGACCATGAAGAACCAGCACACGCAGTGGGAGCAAACCACGGACAAGAACCAGCAATACCTGGTTGACGGCGTGAAGGAAGTCATCAAGAAGGTCACGTCGTGTGACTATGACAGCTTCACTGCGCTGAGCAAACAAATGGACCAGCTGGGGCAAGAGCTGCTAGCCTCGGCGGGTTACCTCCAGACCGAGACCAGCACCCTCAAGGACGGCCTCTACAACCTTGTGGTGGCCCTCGGGAATACCTCTGAGCAAGTCGCCACTGTAAAGGAGTACTGTGAGAGACCGCCGGTGCCCCTGATGTCCAGCGCTCCGCCGCCTCCCTCATATGAGGCCCCTACTGTGATAGCGCAGGCGCACCCGGGAGATCGACGCCAACTGCACTTGCAGACAGCCATTCCACAGGCTCAGGTTCCCCCGCCGCAAGCTGGACCCCATGGAGGACAGGCGTCAGTCTACGTTGACCTGGGAGAGGGCAGACGCGTGAACATCCCGCTGTTCCGCTGAGTGGGTCTAGCCCCAGGGAATTTTAGGACTCATGCCGTCAGGATGTGCGCAGAATCTTTTTGAATGCTGAAAATATGTCCACTGTCTGCTGCACGCAACACCCTGGACATGAGCCCTGACTGTTTGCAGTCCCCGAGAATTTTGATAACAGTTGCCTCGTGAGTGCTGGGCGTGTACTGCCTGCGCTCCCTTTGCGCTGACTGTTGCATGTTCTTTTGCGGACTGGAATTCATGCTGGACTTTACTTACTTGCCACGCTGCTGCAGCCGTCGCCACAGTGTGTATTATTTGTTTCTTTTTCTAACCTCCCGTACTTACTTATACTGATGGTTTTTACCTTGTGCTTTTCATCCTTTATTGTGTTTCGTGTGTCGGCTCTATGTGCTGCCACATATTTTATGGCTGCGATCTTTTGCCCGTGACACAGTCCGGCAGATCTCATGAGGTGGAGACACTTCCACTGCCCTTGATCATGCATGAACTGTGGCTAGGAATTCATTGCTGGACTTGCTGAACTCCTGACTGCCGTGCAAAAAAGCAAGTGCCTGACCGTCGCGACACATCCCTGCCCCAACTGCAATCCCATGCTGCCCGGTGGTAGCTTGTCCTTGATGCTTCGGTGTCTAGTTACAAATCCGTAGTCAGCCTCGCCCTCAGCACCTCGGCTCGCAGTTTCCCCTTGGTCCCCAATCTTTGCCGTCTAATAACAACTTGGTAATCATGGCCTCCGAGGTGTCAGGTGTTGAGAGACTTGCAAGAGAGCTGCACCAAAGTCTTCAGGACAACCTCGCCGCGCCGCCCTACCTTGACCTCACTGCCCTAACTTCATGCATCCCAAATAAACTTTGGTCTCCCCCTCCCAAGCCGTCCGGATGCATTGTTTTTGGATTGTCACCACGATCCAGTTCCCTCACTAAGCCAACCCACATGCTGCCCTGCACAACTGCCCTTCTGACCACATTCGTCAGGAGGCATTTTCCGGAGCTGCGATTCAGTAGTCTTGCGGTAAGAGTTGGCGGGAAGCTTGAGGTCCACAGGGACATGGGCACAGTTGGGAACAGTGTTGTTTTGTCCGGGTCAGGTCCAAATAGTTGCGGTTTCTGGGTACATCGGTCTGCAGGCAGAGTTTTTCAGGACTTTGATGGAGTTCTTTGGCCAGGTGTTGAGGTGAACCTACAAGATGGCCCCATGTCCTTTGATGCGAAACAACCACACTGTGGAGCTCTTTTAAGGACCTCGGACAGAACACACGAAACTCCCCGCATAAGCATCAGTGCCTTTCACCTGTTTAGAAAACTAGGCCCTGACGACCTGGTGTGCACCCAGCTGGACGAGCTAGGCTTCACCGCCTGTCCTCCTCAGGCCTCTGCTCCCAAGTCCCCGCCCCCTACCCGAAACAAAACTGTCCTTGAATACCTACTTGTTCCCAGTAGGCGCCCTGACCTGAAGACCACCATAATCCTGGATGCTGAGGAAGACGACAGCTCTCCGCGTAGTACTAAGGTGCAAGAGGGCGCTGCCCCCACTGAAGCCGACACCGATTCCCGTTCAGAATCTGGTGACTCTGACGTCGTGCCGTGGTTCTCGTCGGATGGTGACTTGCGATGCTGAGGGACCTTTGGTGATGAAGATGCCTCGTGGTCCCCGTCGGTGACGGTGATGGGTGATGGGATGCAACGCGGTGGTGTCTGAAATCTTTGCGCTGAGGTTCCGGGTTGAACCCCGCTGAATTCTTTTCCTTTGCATGCCCTGCGCTGACTGCCCTTGCCTTTTCTGCATGCCCTTGCTTTCTGCTGCACTGCTTCACTGCCTTCTCGCCACCAACTCCACGTACTGTGTCGAAACGTTGTCTGGTCTGCCGTCTCTCCCCTGCTTGTGTGTAAGACACTTGCTTCGGTGCGCCAACGCGGGCTGGGAACAAACCTTGTGTTTCTCTGTTTAACTCCTGGGCCCTTACTCCCCGGGGACTGGTAGCTGCATGAGCCGAGCCTAGTTGCAACAAGTCATAGCCATGGTCTCCTTGTGCCTCTGACCTTTGGCCGATAACGTGCAAAAACCGGGCTCGCAAACATGTTCCTGGTCTACAAAAGCTGCGGGAAGAAGCAGTCTCGCTACACTGTGAGCTGCCCTACGCCAGAAGGCGAGATAGCGCGACCAGGACACAAGACAGATTTTGACGCCTGTGCTGGATTGGACTGCCTGTACTGGGCTGCGGGCCCCAGCCTCTTGTGCGCCAGTGGGGGCTAGACAGCCTACCGAGCACACCTCTGACCACAAGCTGCGCGCGGAACTCTGCCCCGGAAGGCCGAGTCAGACACTGGCGAGCTGGTGGAGCACACCATTGAGTCTAAACAGGGACAAGCTTTGCCTTGCCTTATCCTGCTTTGACTCAGTGACGCCAATGGTGGCTTCGCTCCAGACAACGAACTTCCAAGCCATGTTGGAGACGCCACCTTTCCTGAGCTGCTCTTGGGTGGTGGAGCTCCACAAGTTTCCTACAGACACGGCTGGCGACACCACATCGGCTGAGCTGCTCCTTACTGGGAAAACCCTGCAGGACTTTCAAACGAGGGCCACAAAAAGCATTAGCTATGTCGATCCCTTGTTCGTCCCAACTTGTCTGGAATCGCCGTGCCTTCGCTGCGTGGAAGACTGGCACTCTGGGAACTGCGCGTGAGCCGACAGTAAACTGGCAGTGTGAAAAGCTGAGCTTAACGCAGGTCCAGGCTTGGCCTTGCTTTGGCTCGGCTTTCCCACATGAGTTCACACGACCGCGTAGAGCAGTAGAGTTGTAGTGTAGCAACGCAGAATTCGTGCCCGACGACCTGCATGTACTTGACCCGTAGTGTGCTGTGCATGTGAATTGGGGACAAGGTTGCTTTGAATTTGTACATTACACATGCGATATGTACTGGCAGGACCTTGCTAGTGTGGTACAGAACACTCCTGGCTAGGTATTTGGGCTTTATGCCTGTTTGTTGAGTTTGTGAAAGTAGTAAACTTGAGAAGTAGTCAACTTTGAGTTCCAGATCGATGGGAGCAGTCGTACTTTGTGGCCTTACCTTCTGTTGCTTGTTTTCTCAGGGGCTGCTCCCGTTGTGACTTGCAACCCTCTAGTCCCCGCGGAGCTGCCAGAGGTGTGCCAGGTGGGTGACAAAAACTACTCCTGCTGCTGCTGCTACTCCTCCTCCTCCTCCTCCGGCTACGACTACGTCAAGCCCGCTAATTTCGAAAAAGCGACCGCTAATTAGCCGCGACATGCCCAGCCCATTTCGAGTTGAGTTTATTATACTTTGTGCAGAAAAAAAGGCTGCAGAACGGCCAGCCTGCCATCAGCCTCTATGGCGCCCACACCCACGTGCACATCAACCCTTCGGGTGCCCAGGCTGCTCTAGAGTGCCAGGGACGGAAATTCGGTCAATTAGGTCTTCTGGTATGTCAGGTTTATCTTTCCAGGCACCTTTTCTTTGCAGTAGTTTCCTGCACTGCGGCAGCTCAAGGTTTGGAGTTTAGAGTGTGGAGGAACCTTCGGAACCCAGGTCCCCCTCGGGTTTAGGACGGAGGCCTTCGCCCCTGAAACCACGCTGCCGCGCAAGTAGGTTTTGCTGAAATGGGTGTCTTTCTGTTTTTGGTCGGAGCCTTGTGCCCTGGACCCTGATGATGTCAAAGCCTGATGCGCTTAGCAGCTCAACATTGCCTAGGCAAGTACATTATGGATGGCCGCCAGAGCGATGCGGGACTGACCGGCCACAAGATCCTGGGACAAAGCGCAGCTCATGGATTTCGCATCGGTTTTTTGGGATGTACCTGGGTGTCCTAAACTATTTGTCGGGTTGGGGGGTTAAGGTGGCGATTTTGTTTGTTCTTTCTGCATGTCTTTTCCCAGGTAGTGGGTTGTGACTGTTTTGACTTGATGCATCGGTCAAGGATTTGGGGACAGCCCTGACACCTTCAAGTCTGAACAGTTCCACACTCGCTGGATTTCAGGTACGAAGGTTTAGGCTCATGCCTGTCCTTTCGAACCGTCACAAAATCAGCTGAGGATCATCACCGGCACCTCCGGAGGTTGCCGGCCAAGAACCTGCTCTTCGTCTTTGGCGTGTTGCGAGAAATCACACTTGGGTGATCATTTGTTTGCTTGTGGAAGACAGGAGTTCTAAGCAAATTCATGTAACAGCTACGCATCCAGGCAACTTGAGACTATCATGGTTAAGTAAGCCTAGCAAAAGGGCTGCTTGTGTCAATCATGGGCGCTTGATTGCTTTCCGGAGAAAGCCATGATTCAGTGAGGAAGCCGTCAGCTGGCAGTTCGATCATGTGTGTTGTTAGAGTTGTAATGACTAGTAGCCGAGCAGCTATCATTGCCCGCATGCAACGGTGTTGTTCCGATTTGTGCATTCTGCAGCCTGCTCCTCCACCAGCAGCTCATCACTCTACTCTGGAATCGTTTGCAGGCTGGGGAGCCCATGGGCCGGTGTCATCTGCCGAGGCGAGAAACACGCTGGAAAAATCTTTGCAGAAAACCATCAGGCTTTAAGTGGCATGCAGCTCTTGATTGATGGGTGTGTCAGGGTCTTGTCTGCGACTACAGCAAGTCGTGTTCGCTCTGGGTTTACACCGACGACGACGAGGACTACTGCTACTGCTGCTGCTGCTCTGCTGCTGCTCTGCTGCTGCTGCTGCTGTGCTGCTGCTCCTGCTACTGCTACCACTGCTACAACTGCTATCGCTACTACTACTACTACGACGACGACGACTACCACCACTGCTAAGTGTTTCGGCCGGATTTTTTGTGGGATTTAGGGTCTTGGCTTGCGGGTGTTTCTCACATGGTCTACTTGGAGATTCATGGGTAGTTGCCGTTAGTGAGAAGTGGTGCTTTAGTATTTAGGATTTATATGGAGGTCTTGTAGGGATGTGAGGTGATTCTTGGTTGGAACACCATAATTTATGCTTAGGCATGCCTGAACATCTGTTTGTCTAGCATTGGCCACATTCAA